ACCTCCATGCGCAGATTTCGTGGCAGGCGCAGCACTTTGTGAACCTCGACGCGCAGATTTCGTGGCAGGCGCAGCACTTTGTGAACCTCTATGTGCAGATTTCGTGGCAGGCACAGTACCTTGTGCGCCTCCATGCGCAGTTTTCATCGCAGGCACAGCACTTTGCGAACCTCCATGCGCAGATTTCGTGGCAGGCACAGCATCTGGAGCTGGAAGCTGAGAACTGGCGACTTTGTAGCGCAACTTTAGTATGCGGAGTATGTGCGCAGCTGGAAGATGAGAACTGGCGACTTTGTAGTGCAACTTTAATGCGCGGAGCAATCTGTGGAGCTGGAAGCTGAGAACTGGCGACTTTGTACTACAACTTGAGTACGCGGAGTATCTGGGGAGCTGGAAGATGAGAACTGGCGACTTTGTAGTACAACTTTAGTACGCGGAGTATCTGGGGAGCTGGAAGATGAGAATTGACGACTTTTTAGTCCAACTTTAGTACGCAGAGTAATCTGGCGAGGTGGACCTGAGGTGGAGGCTGAGAACTGGCGACTTTGTAGTACAACTGTAGTACGCGGGTAGCTGGAAGCTGAGAACTGGCGACTTTGTATACAACTGTAGTACGCGGAGCAATCTGTGGAGCTGGCAGATGAGAACTGACGACTTTGTAGTACAACTGTAGTACGCGAAGGAACCTGAGGAGCTGGAAGCTGAGAACTGGCGACTTTGTAGTACAACTTTAGTACGCGGAGCAATCTGTGGAGCTGGAAGATGAGAACTGGCGACTTTGTCGTGCAACCTTAGTACCAATCTGTGGAGCTGGAAGATGACAACTGGCGACTTTGTAGTACAACTTTAGTATGCGGAGTATCTGGGCAGCTGGAAGCTGAGAACTGGCGACTTTGTAGTACATCTTTAGTACGCGGAGTATCTGGGGAGCTGGAAGATGAGAACTGGCGACTTTGTAGTGCAACTTTAGTACGCGGAGCAATCTGTGGAGCTGGAAGATGAGAACTGGCGACTTGCGGAGTATCTGGGGAGCTAGAAGCTGAGAACTGGCGACTTTGTAGTACAACTTTAGTACGCGGAGTATCTGGGGAGCTGGAAGATGACAACTGGCGACTTTGTAGTGCAACTTTAGTACGCGGAGTATCTGGGGAGCTGGAAGATGAGAACTGGCGACCTTGTAGTGCAACTTTAGTACGCGGAGCAATCTGTGGAGCTGGAAGATGAGAACTGGCGACTTTCTAGTACAACTTTAGTACGCGGAGCAAGCTGTGGAGCTGGAAGATGAGAACTGGCGACTTTCTAGTACAACTTTAGTACGCGGAGCAATCTGTGGAGCTGGAAGCTGAAAACTGGCAACTTTGTAGTACAACTCTAGTACGCGGAGTATCTGGGGAGCTGGAAGATGAGAACTGGCGACTTTGTAGTACAACTTTAGTACGCGGAGTAGCTGGGGAGCTGGAAGCTGAGAACTGGCGACTTTGTAGTACAACTTTAGTACGCGGAGCAAGCCGTGGAGCTGGAAGCTGAGAACTGGCGACTTTGTAGTACAACTTTACTACGCGGCTGAGTCATCTCTATTCTGTATTTTGCAAAATGCATGAACAACATTTTTTCCTGCGAGACAGTTGACGGTGGTTGCTTCGCTTTCGCTCCATTGGTCGGGTCCAACTTGTTTTGTCAAAGAACATCGCAGCTCGGCGAATCAGCCTGCCACATGCCCATTTCCTGTAGGTTCATTCTTTTGGAAACTTCCGCCGCCGGCTTGCCCGGGAACTACTTGTAGTGGGGCCATTGCTATTACAGTAGGTTGGAGGCCATCGCTATATGGTTGCAGGCCAGTCCTATTAGCTGGGAGACCATACTCATCCTCTGCTGCTCAGCCCCGCCTCGAGCTGAAGCTCTCGTGCGCGGTACTTTGCCACGACTTTTTTGGTCAGACCTCGTGCCTCAACACATGACCAATTCGAGATTCATCGACTCTTCCAGAAGCACAGGATAAATGTAGCAAAAACCTCGAACTCAGATCCCCACCATGTCTTCTACTCGATAGCCTGCAGAGGCAACTTGATCGTGACCTACTTCTCAACTCCACACCGAGGAGGATACGAAAGCGCTCTGCGTCCGAGATCTGCATGGGCAAGGGCTGCAGAGGACCGGTGCCTCCTGACATTCAAGGGTTCTCAGTCGGTCTTGCCCATATGCATGCTCCCTGCGCTTTCCTGCAGCATTCTGTGCTCGAATTATCTTCTGAAGTTGAGGCCTTAGAAACATGAGAAACAACTCAGAAACACAGCTATAAGGCATCATGTCTTTCCTTGTCAAAGAGTCAAAGAGCTGGAAGGGTTTGAGCTCAGGACTCCTCCTCATAGGTGCAAAGCGTCAACCTGCCCATGTGGCGAAAAGTTGCAATTTTGCCAAAAATCCATGTAGGTTGGAAGCCATCGCTATTGGGGTGGGGGCCATTGCTATTAGGTGCAGAAATCCATGGCGTCTTTTGTGGTGTCTTTCTCTTTCTCTCGGGGTCCGACGCAGTGCCACTGGCACCACCACGAGCACAGCGCCCGACTCGATGGACCTCACTCAACTGTGGCAACTGTGAAAGTGTTCTTTTGCATTAGACCGTGGCCCCGCCTCCTTGCTTAATTAGGTAGGCATCTTAATTAATTAAGGGACAACCTTGTTCGCTCCTAGCTATTAGGACACTCCTAGCTACTTAAGCTACTAGTATGGATGCAGGATCGCTCACGCTTCTTCAAGGAAGCTCCCCCTGCCTGAGGGCGGCGGGGAGCTTCCTTAGCCTTGAAGAAGCGCTCGCACTAATCATTTGGTCTCGCGAACATTGCTCCTAGTAGCGATGCCAGGAGCCCCTAGTAGCGTTCTTGCTCCTAGTAGTAAGTGTCCTAAAAGGAAACTTAATCCCTGAAGATTAGCCCGTAGTAAGCAAGCAAAGAGGAGAAGGCTACGAGAGCTTAAGAAGCTACTAGTATGTTTGACGAGAAAAGCAAAGGCTTAATGATTTGGTTCATGGATGACTGTGAAAACTTTCATCCAAAAAGGCCTTACAAACTGCAGAACATGCGCATCCAACTGATGTATGATGCTGTCGCAAACAAATCATAGCCGCATAGCCCATGACGTAGTCGCGAACTGTTGTTGGGACATCTGCATTGAGCACAGTGGTGACCTTTGCTTTCAATCAATCTTGATCTCCTTTGAGAGACCATGTGCAACACATAAGAAAAAATAGCTCCCCGCATTGTTCAAATCAACTCCTCTTGTCAAAGAATATTGATCATCGGCCTGCACTGCGGTGCATTTCAGCAGGTCGTGACTCCAGAACTGCTTTGAACGGATTTATAACTTTGAAGAAAGAACTTAATAGGCCTCCAACGCAGTAGCAGCTTTTGAATTGCTGGTGTGCTTGAAGAAGTGCTGCTATCAGACTGTCCGGAACTACCCTTGAGGCTTTTTCACGTGAAAGTGTGACCGTCCTGACCTTGCCACTAAGATCCCCTGCTAAAGGTTTGGCCTGTGGATTGACGGTAAATACCTTATGAAAGTTAACCAAAGGGCTACGCACTAAGGGTCTAAGACTGCACCTACGAGCTGTCAAGCTGCAATCTCAGAAGTGTTCCGTATGAGAAATTGATCCCTGAATATTGACTGCGAAAGAGATCTCTTCAATGATCTCTAAAGATATGATATGTCATTTCAATACAGGAGGTCATCGCTATTAGGTTGTTCACTTCCACTACCATCGTTGAAACCCGGTTCATGTGACGACACTGATTTCTGGTCGCGGTAATCCCTCAGGTTTCTTCATTGTTCTTTGCCCCAAACAGAGCGCCTTAGCTCTGCGGGACTGCTGTGGCTGCTTCACCGTCTTCTTCACCTGCGCCCACTGCAACTACCACTCCGACCACTCTGTTCTAAAGCAATAGGTGAATAGAAGCAGGGGTAAAGCGATGTCAAAAGTATTTCATGGTCACAGGAGATCAGTGGCTGCACTCATACAAGCTTTTCCTAGTTTCTGGGAGATATTTCATGACAGCGTCAGCCTCTTTTGTTGGATCCTAAGTCTTGATAGCAGAGCTCTAGACTTGAATTAGAGCAGGATTCACTGATTTTGTTGACCCTGAACTGATAATCCATCGAAGTACAGCAATGCCCCATTGTCTTAGATTCATCAAAAGCCAATATCCTCGTCGCCAACAATTGCTGTCTGCCCTCGCTCCTCTTGTTTGCCCTTTTGGTTCTGCTCGGTGGCTTTCTCTTCCACTTCTTCCCCGTCTTCTTCCTCCTAGTAACAAGTGCCACGCTAGTAGTAACAGGTGCCTTACTAGTAGTAACAAGTGCATCGCTATTAGAATTAAATTTATATAACATTAACTATTAACTAGAATTGTTCAACTTGTTCTCTTCCACTTCTTCCACTTCTTCCCCGTCTTCTTCCTCCTCCTCCTCTTCCTCTTCCTCTTCCACTTCTTCGTCTTCTTCAGCTTGACAAGTTGGCGTTGCTACCCTCTCTTCGGCATCCTTGGTTTTAGAAGTTCTCAAGGCAGACCTCCGGACAAGACGAATTTCTGCGACCGAAATTATTAAACTCCTGCCTCTCTACTAGGGGCAGAAGCTACTAGGGGCTCCTGGCAACGCTACTAGGAGCAAGGACGCTACTAGGGGCTCCTGGCCTTACTACTAGGAGCAAGAAGCAGGGTGGAGGCCATCGCAAGTAGGTTCCTTTTGCTAGTATATACTCGGCTTACTCCCGCCTCCGCGGGCCCGATGCCTGAGACGAAACACAAGAGTGACCACTTGGTGCATTCTTTTGACAAAGCTTCTTGTTACTAGCAGCAAGAATGCTCCTAGTATAATGAGAGAAACCAGAGAGAAGTCGAAAAACTTATGTGGTCGGCTTTTGCTGAGCATTCCTAAGCGTCTTTGCGGCAGTTTCAGAGGAGACCTGTTCAAAAAAATGCATTATTTTGAAAAGCTTGACACAAGGCTTCCGCACCTCCAGCTTCACCGCAGTCTCCTGCACGTCCATCGAAGTAAGCTGTAAGCCAAAGAAAAGAATTGAAAGGACAATGTGGAGAAGGAATCAAGAAACAATAGGAAAGAAAGCAAGAAAGGAGAAAGGACACAAAAGAAAAATGAAGAAGGCCTTCCTATTGTAGTAAAGGGTGCTTGGCATTCCTGATTAAGGGCATCCTAGGGCCCTGTAGCATTCTCAGAGTAGAAACTCTAGGGGTAGCTAGGGCCAGGGAGGGCCTAGGGTCAATCAAACGAACGTGAAATGAAGGCAACTCAGCTCATTTTGTTGTTTGCCTTTCTGTGATTGAATCTAGGAGGAGTAGAGAGAAGTAGTGGCTGACAAGTACCGAGAAAGCTCAAGTAGCTACCAGGCTTGGGATGCAATGGCTCGCATGATTGAATTGGTTCCTAGATTTCCTGGTAAACTTAGCCACTGCGCTTTCACTTTTCCTGGCACTCCTCTGTTTCGCTTTTTTCCTCCTCATCTCCATCAAGCTCCTCTTCCTCGCCTTCCTCACCTTCTTCCCAGTCACCCTGACAGATGTCAGCAAACATCAATGAGCCACGAGAACCGCTTTGCAAAGGAAACCGAAAACAAGTAGTAATGCCCTTGTTACTAGTAGTTTCTTGTTACTAGTAGTAATGCCAGGAGCTACTAGTAACTTCTTGCTCCTAGTAGCGATGCCCTTTGTTCCTAGTAGTTTCTTGTTACTAAAAAAGAAAAGGGTCCTCTTCAAAACAAGGCCAACTTCAGCCTCATCCTCCTCTTCTTCAATCGCCTGCGATGCAAATGTTTCACAAGAAGAAGTTCGATGAACATTCCAAGATATTGGACATACTCAGACACACAGCAAAGTACTTAAGTCCACTGTGAATGATTCCAAGTGAATTTGTTTTGCAGGTACTTTTGATTGAATCAGTTTGGAGTCCAAGAGCCTGGTTCCCTCCAAGACCTTCATCTGTGGCCTTAGAGAACTTAAAAAGCTCTTTGTGGGTTTGTACCTGTTGCGTTCTTCAAAAACTCTAGAAAACTCTGGCAAATCTTGCGCTCGTTCGTTGGCTCCAAAAAATGATAGCACTAGTTTTCATTCAGAAGGCAATCAGAATGTTTGAGGATATCAGAACAAAGCCTCTTTCTGTGCACTCAAAGCAGGGGCTTTACTGGGAAACAAGTGAAAAAACTGCGTTTAGCTTCAAGAACTTGTAACTTGATCCACTTTGCTTTGTGTGTGTCTGGTGGTCAAGATTTTGCGCTGCAAAGTAGAAAAATTGTTGTCCTTTCGGGAAAGGTAGAAACAGTGAAACAAAGGAAAGCAGCTGATAAGTTCCATCGTGCCCTTGGGCAACAGAATACCCCCAAACGCCTTGGCAATAAGTCTAGCTGGTTGCAGCAGAAAAAATTCTAGATTGTCCCGGCAAGAGACCCCAAACAGTGTGTGTGAGGTCTATAAGCAGAAAGTCGAGAGATCTAGACGCATTGGGGTCCAGAGAGGTGATGGTGGTGATGAAGGTGGGGATCGTGGTGACGGTGGCGGTGTTCACAAAGCGCTGTGCCTGCCACGAAGTCTGCAAACGAGCCACATGTCCAAAAGTCACTGTTCACTGCACCTGTCACGAAATCTGAGCTCCTCGAAGATCACCAGTGGTGCTGCGCCAGCCACGAATATTGCATTTGGAAGTAAAACAGCTCCGATCCCTTGCGCCTGTCACGAAAAGTCGACTTTGAAGCACCAAAGCACAAGCGCACGGCACCACAACGAGAGCGCAGTCGCTAGAAGCACCCGCCGCGGCCACCCAGATTCTGCGAGCCTGCGCAGTCGAAACGCACTTCGACGATTTCGAGAAGCATGAATGTACAGCGAGTTAGCCGGTCACGGCCGCGCTTCAGCGATCTAAGCATCAGCTGCTTTACACCTACCGTAAGAACCCCTAGTGAAAACGGTGATACCTTGATGCAGGGTGCAGGGTCCTTGGATGTGAAGGACACAAAAGACTGCTTTGTATCTATACAGATTGTCAAAAATGAACAAACAATGTCCTTTTTGGCTTTCTTTCTCTATCTCCTTTTTTCTTTGGACCTGTAGACTTAGCTTTCTTCCTTCCTTTCTTCCATCCTTCCTTCTTTTTTGAGCTCACCTGCTCGCTGTTGCATTCTCATCGTCCTGAGACTTGGGTCCCGGCAATCAGCAACTCCACAAGACCCTGGTTGAAGGTGTCGAGAATGTTTTGCCCTTAGGGTGTGAGAATTCTCAAATTCTCACAGTATCTGAAGAGCTGTGAAATCACGTGACAAGACATGTGTCTGAAGAATCAACACCCTTAGTTTATGCTCCCCCTGTAAAGGAGGCCTTACCTTCCTTCTTTTCATCTCTTTGTTCTTGTCTTTACAACCTCGTCCTCTTCCTGGAAAGTCTTGTCCTGCGGATCTCTTCTGAGCCATCAACGACTGGCGTGCGGAAGCTCAGAGTTGAGAACAGCTGAGTTGATACTGAAGCGTTCAAGCCTCCAGAGAACAGAGTTGTACAGCATTCAGAGAACTTGAACGCTAGGCTGAGCATCATTTTGGCAGTGACCACAAGGCTTCTGATCTCTTTTAAGTCCAGATCAGTATCTTCAGGCGGTATGCACCATCGATGCTCTTCACAAAAATGAGCCTCGGAAGAATCAGACCAGGCCCGTATCAGAGGAGAAGAGCTGCTGTGATTCTCAAAAACAAAAACAAAGCAGAAACGAATCTCAAGAAAAAGATAAGAAGAAAAGGAAGGTGGGACAGGGCACCCTTTAAGGCTTCATTAATTCATCAGGGGGCCTTGTTGAAGGGCCCCTTACCTTCCTTTTTCTCCTCTCTTTCCCCTTTATCTTTTACAGTACGTCCTTTATCCTGAGAGATTCGTTTTAGATGCCATTTGGGTGCCCTGCGTTTTGCCGGAAATAAGCTGCAGCTTCCTGCAATGTCAAGCCGCTACTCTGCTTTTGCACTTTTCCAACATGCCAGAGAGTCAGCAGCGTGTAGAGAATGAGATACTTGTCTGTCTTGTGGCAAATGAAGTAGAATCTCAAGGCACACAAGTTCACACAAGACAAGACACGAGAATCACCGGGAATCGTTTCACTGGGAATCGTTTCACCTGTAGTAACAAGAAGCTTTTCAGTGTGTCTTTGAAGCTTCTTAGTAACAAAGCTAGTAGCGTCCTTGTTACTACTAGTAAGGCACCTGTTCCTAGTAGCGTGGCACTTGTTACTACTAGTAAGGCACTTGTTACTAGTAGCGATGCACTTGTTCCTAGTAGCAACTCGAAGCTTCCTTGGAAATTCACAACCCGTGGAGTCTGAAAAGGCACCAAACTCTTCAGCCCAGGAGCTGCGATAGCTTCCCAGTCACTCTGGGCTCCTCCAACTTTAGCACGACAGGCTTGTGCAACATCAGGCCCTGAGCTTTGCTTGCCAAAGATCCAGTGTGGGAAAAGAACTGCGTTTCATCGTGTAAAAGAATATCTGTAGAACCTCATTGGTGCTAGAATCTTGCGTGATGGCATCGAAGAAGAACAAAGCACTGCTAAGAATAGAGCTGAGAGGACTGTATCAAGGATACAAGAAAGCAAACGGAAAGAAGCCGCTATTCCGGAAGCTTGAAACAAGAGCACTCTGAAACAAAAACCAGCACAATTATCAGTGTGAAGCAGAACCAAACCTCTTCAAACACGACCGATGAAAAACACAGCAAGTTCAAAAAAAACGGAATGATGAATACAAAATAGAGTAATGAACTCCATCAACAAAGATCGGAACTGAATCTCCAGCCTTCAGCTGCTGGACCTCCTCTGATAAAGTAGCAGAGACCAGAATGGCCTCCAAACTCCCATCCAAATCCACAAAAACGGGGTTCACAATACATGTGTTTCTTGAATATGTGTGCAAGTACTTGTTCGTGTTTATTCTCTTTAATCGAAGCTTCAATTCAGTTTTATCTGACCCTTTTGATGATTTTTTTGTGATGCTTTATGATCCCTTTTCCACTTGTCTTTACAGAGTATCATCTGTTTCCAAACGAGATGCGATGTCCACATCCAGTTCTGCCTGATACTGTGGCGGCATCAGGGCACAAAGCGATTTCACCTCAGAATCCGTCATGAAAAATTGTTACTCACACAACGGGAAAGAAACAAGTTCGGGCAAAGGGCATCCTCTTCGTAGCCAAAGGAGAACATCAAGTCTGCTTCATCCAGGATCAAGATCTTCAACGTTCTGCCATTGGAGAAAGATTTGGAGTAGGAACAAGAAGCTCTGGCATCGCTACTAGGAGCAAGGACGCTACTAGGGGCTCCTGGCTTTACTACTAGGAACAAGAAGCTACTAGTAGTTGGATGAATGCGCACAATGACATGAAAACTGTCGAGCGTACTCAGCCAAAGGTCTCATGGTGCCTTTGGCCTCCAGCACAACCAGACAAAAGCTGTTGTGCGAGATCAACTGCAACGTTGAGGACCAAAAATTATGCTGAAACGTACAAGTGATCTCACAATCAATGCTTGCGCAGCCACACTGGTTCAACGTTTAGAGATTTCAGTGTCTTACAGTCTTATACGTGTTCTAGTTCACCTTACTCAACTTATCCCTCCAAAACTTGCACGCCCAAACTGCCGAACTGCATCCTGTGATGTTCGCTTCAGCACTTCCTCGCTTCAAACCGTTCGACTGTCACCTGGCGCTGCTTCACCAAGGCTAGCAAAGAGGATGGAGTTGTCACCAACCTGGCACGGAGAAATAGAATATAAGAACAACACAAAAGAGGAAATAGAAGTTCACAGTACCAAAGGGGCATTCAATCCCAAAACTGAGCCTTCCGGAAGGTTTTTGATGGCCCTACGTTGAGGCCACATGCTACCCCTTGCTACCATTCGCAGACTTGTGTCTTTGGCCTTAAGATGCCTTAAGCCACACTTGCTTGACACCCAATAGTGCCAGCAACACACCACTGGCATTTCTGCTTTTGTGTACTTCTCCTGAAGAAGCTTCTCCAAAAATGTCCCGGGCCATTAGCTAGCTTCTCAGCGACTCCTAGGCCATTGAGAGCCCCACACCCGATAGCAAGGTGTCAACAGTGATGACATCGAAGCAGAAAGTCAACCTGGGAGAGAGGTCTAATGATGCGAACTGGAAAGGAGCAGGAAGCTACTGGGGCTCCTGGCATCGCTACTAGGAACAAGAAGCTACTAGTAACACGAAACAACAACAGGGTGGAGGCCATCGCTATTAGGTGGAGGCCATCGCTACTAGGATGCTGTTTGGCATGGCACCCAAACTGGGCTCAAGGGTTGCCCTGGCTTTTGAACAGAGACAGCCACAACAGAACAGCCACAATCAAGACTTCCAGCATCGGGCCAGTGTTGCAAATCACAGTAGCCCAGCGCTGCCGAGGTACAACTTTATCTAGATTATCTAGGCAACTCTTGTCTTGTCTTGGGCTACAACCGAAAGGTTCTAGCTTCTTGTTACTAGTAGCTTCTTGTTACTACTAGTAAGGCACTTGTTACTAGAAGCGATGCACTTGTTCCTAATAGCTTCTTGTGCCAAGACTGATCTCCATCGCCAAATTGGTCAGTTGTTCGCTCGTCGGACACTCCAAACTTGGGATCCTTTCCGGAGCGGACACCTTCCTGGCGCTTGCGGCGCTTGAGGTCAGTGACCTGTTCTTCCTTAACAATGACTTCGACGCTGAGATCTCCGACTCCTCCACCAACTTGCACTTCTCATGCTCTGGCAAATAGCTGGCAAGAAGCTCATTTCCTCCAGCTACAAACACAGCGAGCATGCCCAAAGTCTACACAGATCCTTAGCCATAATGTGTTTTTGCTCGTGCCTGACCTTGGCAACGATTTTCTCCAATACCCTGCTTGACGTTCAAGGCTTGGGCTAAGGCTGGAATCTATCAGCAACTGGCCATAGTCCTCCCCTCTTGCTCGTCAGCCCGCAAAGCCACAGGTGTAGGAAGGCAAAACTGTGTTCGCGTAGCTCAAGTACCTACTGACACCACAACACTGCCATCACACGACATCTTGTACGCGCCTGCTACCATGCAAACTGTGTGCCCTCATCAGATACACTATATATTTGCTGGAGTTGCTCTGATCCCAACATGGCGCTAGGCTAGGGGCTGCAACTGTCTGCGCGACCACGCTTTTCCTTCCTTCTCCACAATCATAATTTCAACCCGGAGTACGCACAGCCGGTTCAGCTGGTCACAAGCCAGGCCAAATCATCTGGCAGACAGTTGCAACGGACTCCGATGTAGCAGGTTGTTCTGCAGTCGCTAATTCTGAAAGAAATGTGCAAAGCGCAGTCGCCGCAAAGCCCAGTCTGGAGCTCCCAACCAGTCAACCCACTATGGCGACAGTAGCTCTGCTACTTTGTCATCTTACATGGCAGCATGAGGGCTCACCTCCTTCAGCCATGTAAGTGTCCCCTTTCGTGCCATTTCGTGTAAAACAAACGCCACGACATGACACATGGCTCAATGTATGACATGAACAAAGGACGCTACTAGGGGCTCCTGGCCATACTACTAGGAGCAAGGACGCTACTGGTTGGGAATTAATCAGGTCGAGAAGTCAAACTGACTTCGGCAACTTTGGCCATGCACCCTAACTGCAGCTGGGAGGCAAGGATGTCATGACACCATGCACTTGGGCAATGAGCTCCTGGACAAATAAGCAAAAAGATGCAAAAGTCAAACCCAAGCAACATTCATGTGCATGCAACGGCCACGCCAGATTCTCAGAAGGCTTGTCATCTTCTCAGCAGTGGTGGGTTTCAAGCAGGTCCCAAAACACGCAAGCTGAGAAACTTGACACCTGCATTAGTCATTAGTCACAAACGCACGGGATACTAGTGAGTGAAACGAGTGGACAGATTGTCCGTCTGTATCGGTTTGATCAAAACCAAAAAGGTTGAGTGACAGGAGAAATAAAAGGGATGCAAGAAGAACCAAACAGCAACAAGAACCAGAATGAAGCGAATACAATGGGGCAGGAGAGGTCGTACGAGCACAAAATTTCAGGGCTCAACGCCAAACTGCATAGAATATGAATAGGATAGGCCCACTCAAACTGAAGTCCACTTGGAGGGCAATAGAATGGGGACGATTGCAACTCTGAACTCAGGGACATATTCTGGCAAGATCCAACGTCTTACACAAACTGAAGCCTTTGCAGCTGTGTCTCTAGCGGGCAAACATCAAGAACAAACCAGACAAAAAGTCTTCAAGATCACAATCGGGCTTCCTAAGTGTTACTATGATGTTGCGCGCCCAACACCACCGCCGCCGCTACCACCAGCAGCAACAGCACCAGCACCAGCACCAGCGCCACCACAGCAACAACAACGACCGACAGCGGCGGCGACAAGAAAAGCAAAACAAGATCAACGCAAACACTGGCAAGAGTGCAGCTCAAGGATATTCAAAAACTTTGATACTGCAGCGTCTGCAATCTTCTGGGAATCTCCTTGGTTGGGACCAGGACGAGACCACTTAGAGGTGTTGCAACTCCTGCACAAAGTGCTGAAGCTAACGCATGCCACAAGCACTTGTATTGAAGAAACTCCAACATCCAACATCTGCTTCATGTGTTCTCTTCATTCTTCTTGCATCTTCTTGGCACCTTTAGACTGCTCCGTTTGCAGCAAACGCTGAACCTGAGTGATGCCAAGGTTCACTGTCTCAGGTTGTGATTTGTTAGAAGAACAAGAAAAAGCATTACCATGTTTTTCAGTGACTAATAGCGGTGGCCTCCAACCTAATAGAGACGGCCTCCAACCTACTAGCGTTCTAAACCTAATTGAGTGCGTCACCAGTGGAATTGCATAGCACAAAGTCTTTCCGCTGCCAGTTCGGGCTCGGCAAAGCACATCCTGCGAAGCGCAGTGGTGATGGACATCAGTGGTATGAGCGCCATTGGTGCCTCTTTGGCGTGTACAGTGATTATGCGGGAAGGAAAGGATTCTTTTTAGTGGTGCTTGTAGCGGTAGCAATAGCTTTTGCGTTTGTAGCAGCAGCAGCAGCAGCAGCAGCAGCAGCAGTCATGAGGGGCAAAGTAAAGGTGTAGTTCAAGCAAAAAAGCAAGACATCAAAGAAAGCATTCCGTAAATCATTTGACAGAGTAGCCTGAGTCGGCACCATAATTTTGACACCTCGAGAGAGCTGTCTTGGAAGACAGGCAGTCGGAGGCTCCTGCCTTAAAAGTCTCAACACCTTCAGTGTGAGGCAGTGAAACGGCTGCTAGCAGCATTAAAAAGTTGAAGAATGAATTTGAACTGAATGAATGTCATTGCCTTTCATGGCTACAAAAGTCACAATGGGAGGCGGGCAGCAAGCTGTGGGTTCTTCAGCTGCCTTCTTAAAAGGAGCTGCAAGGTTTGCAGGTCAGAATGCTTTCGGAGATGGTCGCTTGTAGCATACTTTTTGATCCAAGCACTGAGATGCGCCTTGTCAGGGTCCAAAGCTGCCTGAGCCATGAAATGCTCCATTCTCAGAAGCCCCGGATCCTCTTTCAAAACTTTGAAGAAGCGTGCACGTACATGGGCTGCACTGGTGATGGGAGGCGGGAGGCTCGAAGCTATGGAAACTTCAGCCTCCCCTGTTCGCAAGGACTCCCACAAGTCGGCCTTTTTGGTTGCATCTTCGAGTTTCAAAATGGCAGCCGCCACAGCATCCTCAAACTCCGACTCTGCCGCTGCGTCGTCAACCCTTTCCGATCTTGTTCCCTTCTCGGCATGTCGCTTGCGATGGGAGGCTGATCCGCCGAAAGAACATGCAGTGTCCAATGCATTTTCAAGTGCGTCTTTCACCGCTTGTTGCTCCTTGCTTGGCACAGCACCTTCAAGTTTCAAATTGGCAGTTGCATTCAACATGTCTTTTGGACTTTGATTTGCTGCAACTTGGGAACGCAAGCCATGGCCCTGCTGCAGCTTGTCGCGCATGAGAGTCACGACCCGGTTCGTGAGAACTCGCTGAAGTTCCGTCCAAGGCAGTCGATAAACTTCACAGTGGGCACTCTCCACCCGAACTGTGGCAGGCTCCTTCCAACCCAATAAGGCATTGTATGCTCCAACCACTTCACCTGGAGTACTCACAACCTGGGAAGGATTCATGGAGCCTATTTTGCTCCGATGCCAGTTCTTTGGGAGCGGCCTGCCTTGTTGTGAAGGATAGCAATAAGCCAACACACCTTTCCGCAAGATGTGAATGGTGCTTGAAGTCTCAGTGCCATGAGTGAGAAGCACAGTCCCACGGTCTAAACTGTGGCTTGTCATTGATTTCGAAGTGCGGGACATGCGCTGTCGAAGCGCTGGGTGCAAGTTGTCTGAAGCACGGCCACCACGTGTTTCTACCATCAGGACATAGCGACACAGGAACTCTGCAGCTTCCCGTGCGCGTGCCTCTCCCATAGAACCCAGAAGTCCAACATAGTCCTCTCGAGTGACAACCAGCAACTTCGTCGGCTCCACAGTTTGGACTGAAGCTGTACGAGCTTCCTTCTTCAGCAAAGTCCTGGCTCCAAATGCTGCTCCAGGACCCATGCGATTCACCATCTTGCCAAGGCTCGCCGGTTCATCGGCCTGAGTGGCTGCTAGGCGCTTTCGAATGCCAGTCCAAAATAGGCCTCCCTGGAGACGCTCTCGGAAGCTTTTCCGCCTCGTATCATCTGTGGTCCGCAACGGAACTGAAAGCGTCTCCCTTTCACCAATGCTTTCTCTACTTTCATCTGCCTCCTGAATGTCGGATTCGTCAGACATTATCTCTGGTTTATTGTCAGGTGTCTGTGGAGCCAACTCTTGGGAATCGCCACCAAAGAAAGAGACACGCACTGCCTTTCGCCTTGCTGCACCTGATGGCCGTCGCTCAGGCTTTAAAGATGAGGTTGGCGACATCATTGGGCTCAAACTCATGCTGTCTCCCAGACTGACGTCAGAAGCCTCAGATCTCATAGAGCTGCTTGTTCGAGGGATTTCAGGAGGCAACAAGCTCTGCTCCTTCTTTGCCTCACAGGGAGAAGCAGTGGCATAAGAGCGATGGCCTCCAACCTAGTAGGTCAACTTAAGACCTGGTTGAACTCAAGTAAGGTCGCGCTGCCTCTGTGCCAGCAAAATCGAGAAATCAGAATTGAGTAAGATTAAGCTTCAATTCCAGTGCAAGCCAAACTAGTTGAACTATATAAGCTAGAGTCCAAGAGGACACTTTTAAACTTGCAAATCTGAAGACTACCAGACTGCCAAAAACAGGCAAATCTGGACGAGTAGTTGTCAAACAGGAAAGTCCAAGCCTCTGCTTTTTGGTGGGAGAGGGCAGCTAGCATCGCTTTGATCAACCCGGCACCACCGCCCTTCTTCTCAGCAGCCGATGCAAGTGTTGACTCCACCTCCACCTTTGGTCGAACATGGATGCTCACCATCCCTTCGATAATCGCAAAGAAACGATCACCAATCTCACCCTGATGACACAGGACATGGCCAGGAACTGCATTGATGTACGTGGCCGCGCCAAGCACTTGCATCAACTCCTCTTGCTCAAAAGCCTTGAGCTCTGGTGTATTCCTCACAAGCTTTGCCAAGAGTGCGAGTTGTTCCTGAGATCGGTGGTGCGGCTCACCTGGGCGCGAGGCAGGCACATTTCGCAAGGCATGTACCACCCGCATGCGCTCCACCTGTGGCTCCTGGCGAATGCGCGAGAGCATGTGTGCCACACGAATGCCAAACATTGCTAGCTCCGAGCCGTGTTCCTAAACCGTGCCTGCTAGACCTACTTGCCCTACTTTCAGGTGTTGACGAAAACAATTTCCCTCTCCTAATGCTTAGTATGGCAAAGGGTGGACAGAGTGTTGGGAGAAATGGGAGAAGAAGCTCCGACGGTTATTGGGACCAGTGGGGTGCTCAACAGGTTGATTTGGCTTCTCAA